GGAGGGAAAAAAAAAAAAAAAGAAAAAAAAAAAGAAAAGAAAAAAAAAAAGCCCCCCAACGTACCCAACAACATGAAAAAATTGGGGAAATCGCTCAAAGCACTACAGTGGTACGCCTCGGCGCCGCCCCAGTCGGACCAGTGCTCCTCGATCGTCTTGCCGCTCCTGCCAACAACCTCAATTCCGGCCATGTACTGGTTCGTCTTGAAGCCGTTGGCCAACAGGATAATGTCCGCCTCGGTCACCTGTCCGCTCTCCGTCTTGACACCCTCGGGGACAATCTCGACGATTCGCTCATCCGTGAGGGACATGTTCTTGGCGTGCAAGGCCGGTAGATAGGCCGGGTCAAAGACCAGGCGCTTGCACCCGATGGGGAAGTCGGGGATGAGCAGGTCGTGGTACTTGGCCGGCGCAGTCTTTTTGATGTGCCGGATAGCCATCTTCTCTCGGGACTTCCTGAAGCGCTCCCCGGCCGCGGTCATGAAGAAGCCGCGCATGGCGTTCTCCAGGTACAGAAACATGACGAAGCGCACTGTCCGTAGCAGGCCAGGGACGTAGGTGAAGAGGGCTTGGAAGAACTTGGGGTAGGGTACCTCGAAGTGGGGGACGATCCAATGCTTGGAACGGACGAACTGGCTCAGGTGCTGCGTCTTGCCGACAATGGCGGGCACAAGCTGAGAGGCGGTGCAGCCGTTGCCGACCAGGACGACCCTTTTCCCCGTGACATCGACGTCTGTTCTCCATTGGGCGGAGTGGAACAGAGGGCCCTGAAAGGTGTCGGCACCGGGGATGTCGCACGGTCGGGCTTCGACCAGGATGCCCGTGGCACCGAAGAGAAACTGGCATTCGTGGACAAAGACGTCGCCGTTGAGCAGGTTCCGGATGTGCAGACGCCATCGCGCCGTCTGCTCGATCCAGGCGCAGCGAATGACCTCTGACCGGAAGGACATTTTGCCGTCCAGGTCGTGCTTGTGGGCGACGTCTTTCAGATAGGCCAACAGCTCGTCGGCCGTGGCCCGAGTCTGGCTCCATCTGGGGTTGAGCGCAAAGGAGAAGCTGTAGAGCATGGCGGGGATATCACAAGCGCAGCCTGAACGGGAGGTCAGATGGAGACGGCCGAGATGAGACGATTGCCTTGGTCCTTGGACTCGGGACACGAACACGCACCTGGGAACTTGTTGGCGAACCAGGTACCGCCCAATTCAGAGTGCCTCTCAAAGAACTGGATGTCGCCGATGCCGTACCAGCGCTTCAGCGTGGCACCCAGCCCAATACCAGAGAAACCGGAGCCTATGCAGGCGAACTGGCTGTATGTGAGGCTGGTCTTGTCCATGGCTGCTCAAGGGGCGAGAAGAGATGCGAAGAGATGCGAAGCGAACCGAAGCGAACCGATGGACGCACGACGCCTCGTGCGACGAGCGTCGCTGCCGCGTCTTTTTATGTCTGGACGGGAGTCGTACATGGCGCATCCGGGGGGATCGAGGCGTCATCAAGGGCGGCCGTACATTGCGTCATTGAACTTTCTGATGGGAGACGGTTGGGAATAGCTCAATACTTACGGCGGACGACTCATTGACTACATGTGCGTGGTACGGTCAAGCACCGACGTAACACTGTCGGGAAAAACGAAGCTTCTGCCTCTTCAGACGAAATCAATAGTGAGGCCACGCGGTGGAGAATCTAAACATGAAGTGGCGAGCTCCTCATTCGACGCATGTATGTACAATGTACCTCCATGTCCCCTCTCTTAGCCGCGGTGCCTGCGCTGGACGTGGAGCTCGGTGCCGTCTGGCCCAATCATGTCCGAGTCCACCGCCTTATCGGGCTCCCACTAGCGTCAACTCCAGTCACCACCACATGAAGCTCATGCACGCACATGTCCTCTGGTCAGAAAGCTTCAACAAGCGTCAACGAGCGCGCACCATCTGCGCCACATACTTTGCAGTTCGCCAGCTAATCTTTTATCGGCTCAGCCCCGCGCACCCCGTGCACAACACGCATCTCTCGCGTCGTCCGGCCCGCCATCCCGTCATCCGCTGTTTCCACAAGCTGCTTGACGCAGTCCGCGGAGTGGGGTCTTTTGGTGGCCTACAACTGCCTGCGTCATGTTGCAATCAAAAAGTGCCATTCCGGAAAGTTCTTTCCTGTTGAGCTTTTGGGATACCATAGACCTACCTACAACAAGGGGGCACCGACCACCAGCAAGCTGGGGTTGGGAATCCCTGATGCCTGTACTGGACCCGAACATGCAGTGATTATAGCTTAAATGACTAACTGTATGGAATATATAGCTGACAATAAGCCGCATGCCGTCAAAGCGGTGGCTTCGTGGTCTAGTGGATACGATTCGTTCTTCGGGAGATAATCCCTTAATTCGTTAGAGTTACTGAATGAGGTCCCGGGTTCGATCCCCGGCGAAGCCCCTCTTTTCTTTTCTTTTTTTTTTCTTTATCCCACATTTTCGACAGATTTGTTCAATTGAGCATGTACATTCTTCGGTCGGCATTGATTGCGCCGTGTGTATTCGCTGCGATTGATTTGATTTTCTTCTTGGGCACAACATACATATGATGTATGCATGTACGCATGTGGCCATTTGGTATTGTATTGTGGCTCACCACATGCAACCGCATGCAACCACATGCAACCACGTGCAGACTGCTGGTGGCGCAGCTCCCGTCAGTCAGCAGTGAGCAGTGCATGTGAGCACTGGCTGACTCCACTTCGCTTCGACATTCATCAAGGTCAACTTAAACCTTAATCCGATAGCCACCTTGATTGTTTCATCTAAATTTCAAGCAACCAACAAATTCTGCCCCCGTCGAGGACTTGATACACGTGTCTGTTCGCCCGACAGTACTCGCCGCCAACGTCCCAGCATGCAAAGCTAGCCCATTCAGTCAAAGATGAGCCGTCGACATGGTGTTTAGCGGTTTGCTCTCGTCCTCCTCCGAATCGACCTCGGCAAGCCGATCCAAGCTCGGCCAGGAGAGCGAGCTATTGCCAGAGTTCATCTACGACGAGGCCCAGCTGCCATGCGTGCCGCCGGAACGGCCGAACCTGCGCGAGCTGAACAGCAGCCTCGAGGCCCTGGCCGCCGTGTTTCCCGACATACAGATCGAGGTGTTCCGGGAGCTGCTGTCCAATTTTGATGGCGAGTCACGACTCGCTCTCGTGGCAAATGCGCTGCTCAAGAATCGGGTCGACTGGGTCAAGGGACGGTGGAAGGTCATCGACAAGCAGGATGCCACCCCAGCGACAGTCCCTCGGAGCGACATGTTTCGAAGCAAAGAATACATCAAGGCCGTTCGAAACCTGGCCATGCACGAGTTCCGCGCCCTGTCAAAGTCGACTGTCAACGCCGTCCTGGCCGAGTCCAACTATGCATATCTGGACGCCCGACGAACACTAGTCACCATTTCTTCAAAGTCGTGGCGCTTCACGCTGCATTCGCTCTTTACGCGGCGGAAGCCCCTGACAACAACAGGAGAGGCCGAAAACCACCCCCTGGTGGTTTGGAGATCCACCGGACAGGGCTCAATAGTACCCACGATTCGAACAACGGGGCACTCGGAGCTGGATCGGGAACTGTACGATGCCCTCATCCGGCCTCTCAAGCGCAGCATGAGCGAGGAGAGGGAGGCCAAAGATCGTGGGCTGGCCGTCCTGCTGAACAATCAAGAGGCTGAAGCTGCTTCTGCCACTCACGAATGTGCATGCTGCTTTGTTGATTACACCTTTGAGGAATTCACGAGCTGCAGTAAAGATGGGCACTTGGTCTGCTTCCGTTGTGTTCAAAACTCAATCAAGGAGGCTCTGTTCGGTCAGAGCTGGCAGAGCAACATCAACACCGAGACAGGCACTCTGAAATGCATGTCAGTAGACGGATGCTCGGGCCACATCTCCTCAGGCTTTATTCGACGAGCATTTCTGCAGGAGAAATCCGGGGCAGACATCCTTCACAGGCTGGACCAAAGGCTGGCCAAGCACAGTTTGGCGGCCGCCAATGTACCGCTCGTCCACTGTCCGTTTTGCGACTATGCCGAAATCGACGACATATACCTGCCCGCCGTCGAGGCTCAGCCGCGATTCAAGCTGCGCAACATGTACAACTTTGTCCTTCTTCTCATCGTCACCCTGGCGCTCATCGTGGTTTCTCCACTGGCACTGCTCGCGGCTCTCGTTTGTGTCGTCATCAGCGTTGGACAGGATATATGGCGCAATGTTGGCAGAGAATGGAAAAAGGCTGTTCACAGGCACTGCCGTCGACGGCGTGGTCTCCGTTTTGTGTGCCAGAACCCAAAGTGCACAAAGGCCTCGTGCTTGTCCTGTCACAAGTCATGGACTGACATTCATGTCTGCAATGAGTCATCTCTCGTGGCGCTGCGAACGCAGATCGAGCAGGCCATGAGCTTGGCCATCAAGCGCGTCTGCCCACGATGCAACACGTCGTTTGTGAAGAATGCGGGCTGCAACAAACTCACATGCCCATGCGGCTACAAGATGTGCTACGTGTGCCGGGCCGACCTCAGCGACGAAGGCTACCGTCACTTCTGCGACCATTTCCGCCCCGACGGTGACCCGAGTCCATGCACACAATGCGACAGGTGCAATCTCTGGGAGTCAGAAGACGTGGATCTGGTGCTGCGAGAAGCCCGCGAGGTGGCGGAACGGAATTGGAAGGAGACGGAGCAGAGAGAGCTGTCTGGCGCAGAGAAGGCGTATCTCGAGACCGGCGTTGCTTCCAGGGGGCTGCATTCGACAATGGAGCACTTGCTGGCCGGTGGCATGCTGCCCAACTGGCCCGACTTGCTGGACATGATTGCCGAGGCAATTTATTTCTGACACGACGAGAGCGAGCACACATGTACCAGTCTGTGGGGGGAAAAGTCGTGGGGAACACGGGGAAAGAGGAGTGTACAGAACGGCCCGGAAGGGGGGGTTGTGCGACGAGATGATGAGTGAAACCTGAAGGCGAAGGGGGGATAGAAATACATGGCAGTAGGGCGGAGGCGGACCCAGCAGTCTCGGCCGAAACACGGATGAGGCGCCTCATTGTACAATAGACCTCGTGACCGCTCTCGCACTGTCCAAAAAGGTTGTGTTCCACTCACTCATTGCTCTCAAAAAGACGTAAGACGTACACGGCGGCAGTACGCGCAAAGACTGCGTACACACCAGCTATTTCCGCCCGCCCACATCTCACCCCAGCCATCCATCCACCGAGTACAAACCGGGATCGCGAGCCTCGCACGTCGTCCACAACCCCGCGAAACATGCCCATGCCCCCCCCCTACGCGTTGCCCTCCCCGGGCAACAACTCGACGGCGGCGCCCCCAATGGCCAGCTTGCCCGTCTCCTTGACGCGGGTCTGGAAAACGACCCTGGCGCCCTGGCGCCACATCTCCGTGACGAGCGTCTGGCCGGGCTCGACCGTGCCGGCGAAGCGGGCCTTGATGTTCCTGTAGGGCCCAAAGGCCTCGTAGATGGCCTTGGCGGCGATGCCAAAGGTGGCGAGGCCGTGGAGGATGGGTTTCTTGAAGCCGCCCATTTTGGCGAAGGAGGGGTCGATGTGGAGGGGGCTGGGTTGGGCGTTGGTAAGCACGAGGAAGAAGAAGAAACAAACAAAAAAAGAAAAGAAAAAAAAAAAGAAAAAAAAAAACCCACTTGTAATCGCCGCTCAGACGATAAATGGCAGCCTGGTTCTCCTGCGTCACAGACTCAACAACCACATCCGGCGCCCGGCCCGGCGGCGCGTTGACCGCCGTGGCGGCCCCCCGATCGGCCCCCCGTCTCGGCCCGCCGAAGCCGCCGCTCCCGCGCACAAAGGTCGTCATCTCGCTGTAAAACACCTCCTGCCCCGTCTCCTTGTTGCGCGTGCTGAGCCCCGACCGCACGACGGCCGCGTTGCCCTTGTCCACCACCTCGATGAGCCGGCCGCGCGACTCGAGCACCCCGCTCGTCGGCACCGGGAACTGCCGCAGCTCGAGGTACTGCTCCCCGTGGAGGAGCATCATGGGCGAGAAGTTGGGCAGGATGGCGTCAAAGTCAAAGGGCATGTCGGCCGAGAAGACGGGGATGACGCCGTAGGTCGGCAGGACCTGGAAGTCCTCGGCGCCCTCGTAGACGTACTTGAGCTCGGTGGGCTTGGCTCCGAGGCCGAGGTTGTAGAGGATCGAGTCGCGCTCCGTGAAGCGGAACTCGACGGGGGGACCTTCCTTGCCGAGGGCGGCTTGGATGGCCTCGAGGTGCTCGTTGCTGGCGGGGGGGGATGCGTCGGCCTTTTTTTTTTTTCCTTTGGGCATTAGTAAAGGGGTTTCTCTGCAAGCATTTCTGCGATGTGGTGGGTTTTATTATCCGGGAACCTTTTTTTTTTTTTTTTTTTTTGCTGCTTTCTTGTTTTACACATGTTCTAGTCCTATAGTCCTAACTAATCATACATTGCAAGCTTGTCGTCGGTCGGGACATTACTACAGTCGAGAAAACGACGGGAAAAATTCAACAAACAAAGAAGGAAAAAAAAAAAAAAAAAAGTCAAAAAAAGGTCGCTTCTTCATACCTTCTCGGCAACGTTGCCCATGTTGCTCATAATCTTCATCATGGAATCCTGAGCCTTCTCGGGATTGTCCACGCGGTCATCGTCAAAGCTGGCAATGTCCTTCCAGTTCTTCACCACCTCCTCGGGCGTGAGCGGGACGTTGACGGGAAATCCATGGCCCCCGGTTCGCTGCCAGCGCGTCTTGCCGCACCAGCCGCTCCCGACTTCGTACAGTCCGCCAGTGGGGTCCGGGCAGTCGTCACCGCAGAGAGCGAGGACAAGAGGAGCAATGTAGTCGGGCTTGAACGCCTGAACCATCTCCGGGGGCATGACGGTGGCCGTCATGGCGGTACCGGCATTCGGGGCAATGGTGTTGACAAAAATGTTGTACTTTTGGCCCTCGATGGCGAGGGCTCGGGAGAAACCGAGGATGCCGCATTTCTATTTAAAAAAAAATTTCGGGTTGGAATCTGTCAGACATGCAAAAAAACGGATCATAACCTGAACCCCGTGTGGTTTGTGCAGAGTCATCAAAGCAACTTACAGCAGCAGCGTAGTTAGCCTGGCCAAAATTGCCGTAGATACCGCTCGTCGAAGTGGTGTTGATGACGCGACCGTACTTTTGCTTGAGGAAATAGGGCCAGGCAGCCTTTGTGACCTTGTAGGTGCCGCGCAGATGCACGTTGAAGACGGGGTCCCAGAGCGAGTCGTCCATGTTGGCGAATGCCTTGTCGCGGAGGATGCCGGCGTTGTTGACAACGATGTCGATGCGGCCAAAGTTGTCGATGGCGGCCTTGACGACCGTCTCGCCATCCTCGGCGGAGGCCTTGACACCGACAGCCTTGCCTCCAGCCTTCTTGATCTCGTTTACGACGTCGTCGGGGT